AGCAAGGTACACAATAGTGTTGTATACGTCTTAGAGTGAACTATAAGTAAACTTATTTGTATAGCACACTTATCTTGTATATGTATACGTTTATACTGCGCTATAGCCGAGTTAGGTGCGGTGGAATAAAAAAAAGGGGCGAAATAAGGGAATTTTAAGGGAAAACGCGCGTTCGTTCGGGTTTTCGGGATTATACGCCATAATTTATTATCCGAGGGATATTCAACCGGTAGAGATTGAAAGCGGAAAAGATTGAAGCTTCCAGCACTGGCAAAACGTGCTCGTGATCAATTTTGACTGCAACACACGGCCGTGTGCTTAGACGTGTATGGGAATTTAATCTCCAAAACCATTATGAATTCCATCCCTTCTCCGCCCACCACCCCACACGCTGCACCTGTATATTATATAACCGCTGGCACGCCCTCTATCTCTCTCTCTCTCTCTCTCTCATCATTACAATCGAGTCTTCCGACGAGATTCAATTGAAACATCTAGAAATCCCAAAAACGACAACCCCATTGGCACAAAATTAAAAAGGAAAACGAGAAAAAACGTACTGCCAGGTCAGTCAGTCGAGCTGTAGCTTTGGATGCAAAAGAAAAAGAAGGTATTTTTTATACCACCCTAATGCCTATATATAGTAGTATATATATATATAACTTCACCGTGTGCTGTATGGATTTGTATTGAATTTAAAGCTATTATATTGAACAGCGTTTTTTAAAACTTATTTCTTAAACTCTACGTGTTATTCTCTTTTACAAAATACATTATTTCAAGACAGAGAACGATAATCGAGCACAGCAATTTTGTATAAAACCTAATGTTGGACATTGAATACAAAATATGGTAGATAAATAGAAGAAGCTGGCAAACGAAGTAATGAGTACAAGGGAAATGTTGTGGGTAGTGTAAATGATAGACATAAAAGAGAGAAATATTTAGATGGTTTGGGCGTGTCAAAACAAGAGCGGGAAATGAAAAAGTGAAACGGACGAATGAGGATTAATGTAAAATGATTTACATGATGTACATTTATATATTACTCTAACATGATAATTCGATCTCATACAACTGGAATATGTTTTCAGTTATTTATAGCGTTCCTTAGCAATGTAGATGATGTACTAGTCAACAGAATTACCACATCTTTAATAAAACCAGATGGTTCACTTTAAAAAAAAACCCAAAAAGGTAAACAAACTCAGGTCAGTATGACCAATTATATTTATTAGTGATTGGTAATAAACATAGACGTGGGTAGAGCTTAACCTAGACTGGACCAGACTTATTCAATTTATTGTATACAATATAAAAAACAAAAAATGTTAAAAATTAAGAAAAAAGAATTAAATTAATAAACTTTTTTTTTAATTGCATTTTGTTCGGTTTAACGACGAATACAAACTTAAAGGGTCGCTTCGGTAATGTATGACGTTTGGAAACGGAAAGGAGTTGGACGGACTAACGTTTATTAACTTGCACAGTCCGCCGCAACTGCCTTCCCGATTCCACACAGTCACAATAGTAGATTTCATTTTAAAATACATTTTCAATGGCGTATGACTTGGAACCGAACAAGCAATTAGTTAAAATATAATAAGTAAACAACCAAAACCACCACCGATTAAATACCAATTAAAAAAAAACTCAAACCATGATCTTTTAATTACATGTTTGTATAAAAAAGTAAAAAAAAAAACAGTAACGCTATATTGAGCTGAGAGTCATTAAAAAATAAACTTTAATTTAATTTCGAGTTTAAAGATGTTATCTTGTTTGTAAAAATAATAATATAATTGAACTGATTAAAAGTTTAGATAGTATTATGATTCAATATCCACCGCATTGTGTCATTCGGTTAAAAACTGACGGTTTATATTTAAATGACAAAAAAACAAAATAAAACAAGTATATGATTTATTAAAAAAACGAATATAATATATTTTATTAGTCGTGGGCGGTTAGGTTAGGTCGTATTGAATAACCAATAACAATACCCACGCAGCTATTTTTGGAATTTTGCTGAATGCTATAACAAAAATTATTCTAATATTTGTTGGCTATTTTGAAAATAGTCTATGTAAATATGTTTAAATATTTCTGAAGGACTTAAGTTAACAATATTCGATTTTATGCCAAAAACATGTAATGAAAGTATTTTTTTTACAAAGTTGTATAACATTGCGTAAATTATTATGTAAAAAATGATTATCATTATGTTTTTCCAACGTATCGTTGTTGCGATTATCAACAGTATTGCAAACTACAATTAAAAGTGGTTTTATGAACCTTATTGTTTTTGAATAATTTTCTAGATTCCAAAACGCTTTGGGTTTGATTATTTTCCTAATTAGTGTTTTGCAGCTATCCAAGAGTCCAGCGGCGTTTTTTTTTTGTTGTTCAAACAGCTAACTTGACGGTATGTCCTAATATTAAATTATACCGTAAAAACTATAAAACGGTATTCCCGAAAACCGATATTATTATATTTTACTGTCGTGGGTGTTTTTAATAGGTAACCCGGCAAACGGGTAAGTTTTCCGTCGTGCTCAAAGTGTATAAAGTATATTATTCTTTTTCTTTTTTTCGACGAGGATATAAAACAAACTAGACACCGCCGTATTTAAGACTGTGCGAGAAGCCTATACATATACACAGTGAACGCGCGCCCTTTTCCCATTGCTTTTAAGTGTATCGTATACTATCCGAGTGCCGCACCTGAGGTCTATGGAAATACCGGCGGATTTCCCATTGTCTGGTCCGATAAAAGTGTTTCCCTTCCCCGTTTTGCGCTTTTAAGATTTCCGGGCAAGCCGGGTGAGCGCTTGAAAAATACCTTAAGCCGAACAAACGTCCCGGTAGATGTGCGATAATATTAACGCACTCGGGAAACTTTAAAAAAAAAAAAATTATTATTCTCAGACGTCCAACGCCGTCCGTTAACTGTGCCATTTGTTTGGGGGTGGAGGGTGGTCGGTGTTTGATAGACGAATAAAATAAAAATTTTGAAATTTGGTTTTTTATGTATAATAATATATTTAGACGTGAATAGATATGTTACGATAATTGATTATAAATAAATTGGAACTAATCGGTATCATTTTAATTTGCGGCGACCATCAGAGTCAGATAAGTGCACATCAGTTCTAGGCAAACGATAAAATAACATATATATATATATATATTTCGCTGATAAATGTAGTTTTCCAACAAACATTGCAGCGTTAGTTTTTTTACAAGTCCTAAATGGTTACTACAATTTACACAATGGCAACGTTTAGTTTGATAACCGAACAATACAATATATAACTCCCCTGTCACTTATGTATGTGTATTATGATGTCAAACGACGGTAAAAAATTTAAAAAAAACCATAAAAGTTTATTACATAGTAATCAAAGGAAAACAATATCGACCATATCATAATATTTACAAGGCAATTTTTTGTTTACAAACAACACGTTATGATATTTTTATATGCATTTGATGTCACGTTGAACGAAATTGCTTCGATACAAATATTATTATGTTGTGCGGCTCAATAACCAACTTGGGAAATAAAAAATATGCTGTCATGTGAGTTTTGTCTAAGCTTCCGGTTATACTGTCAAACTTATTTTTCAGTCAATGAAAAAAAAAAAGTACAGTAAAAGGACAGTATTCTTTTGGTTTTCCTCTCACGTCGCGTCGGTTTGTTTTATTGTTATTTAGTTTCTTTTCACGTTTTCAATTCTTAATATTATTTTATCGGATAAACGAATTGTTTTTTATACCACTGTTTTTTTTATATGTCGAAACAAAAACAGCTAAATATAAACCGAAAAAATGGATTTTATTTTCAACACATTACCGTAACTTTTTCGAAGAATAAAATGCACAGATTACTGTTCAATTTTCAACGGAAAACAAATTAGACATTGTGTACCTTTTTCCAGAACGCTAACTAAAGTGTAATGACAGATTTTGAACGGAAAATATTGCGTAATATTTCATTTTGCAAGTACCGTAGACGAATGGAGTATTTGATAAAAATTAAGAATTATCCTTCTCAACGTGTGCAAAATACTCGTATTACTGTTTTGTATTTGAATCGGAACACAGTTTTTAGCTGATTTTCGACAACACCCTCACCGACTCAGTGGGAGGGTTAGAATTTGTTTGGTTTAAACATTTATATTGTTATACATTGTTAATTGTGATATATTGATCATAATGGTGACAAACTATCAAAGACTGACGACCACCAATCGTAAACGTTCCAACCTGATACAAAATATACAATATTTTAAGTAGGTACATTATTGGCAACGCCCTCAAATGTGGGTATATACATAAGAAATAGTTAGCATGGATATGTTATTGGACTGAGTACAAGAAATTTTATGTCGCCATTTTATTGTTACGCTAAGAAATAAGTGATACAATATTTGAGATAAGTGATAAGGAATTGGAGATAGTAGATGCAAGATAAGTGAAAAGCGATAAGAGATAATATACAAGAGATAGTGATAACATGTTAGAGATAATAGATAAATGATAAAAGATAAGCGATATTAACTAGAAAAAAAACGCAAAAACATATTCATGATTCGATGTTTTTCCATGGATAGTTTAAAATAACTACTTTTTTTTTATCTTTTCCCAGTTCGTATCTCCTATCCGTTGGGCAAATGCTGATTGCGCCACAGCAAGATGCCACTGTAACACTATACTCGGTCGTCCCTAAGTGTTGACGCCATAACATTTATCGCCTTACATTGTGCCTACCTGCCTGTGTAAAAAAAAAACTTATTCAATTCAACTTCTAACAATAACGCCGTAAGTCACGTCCCGTACGACTTTTGGACTTTAGCACAGCCATAACGTTAATAGCGTACAACGTGCGCTCAGCTCTTTCGGAATTCCTTTGAATTACGTTTTAGTGCGCCCACCTACAAGAGTTGTACAGAGACTATACACATATGTGTGTATAATAATATTGCCGGGACACATACCTGAGTGTCGTTCCACCACACGTGCAGTCGATAGTTGCGCAGCAGAGTCGGGTTCTCGTTGATGTGATCCACTGCAAGTTTGACAGCCGGCATCACGCCCCTGCCGACTCTTCCTTCTGGTATGCTGCCGGAGACGCGACCGCCGAACGGGAAAAACCCAGCGATGTAAACGTCGTGTCTCTTGTTGGGCGTGGGCCGTTGACCGAACGCGGCGACCGCACACCACGCTAACAGCAGCCACACCCTCATGGCCAAGACCTGATGAAAACAAAACAAAAAATATATAAACATTTAAGAAAACGTTACAAAAATACGGGATTTTTTGCAAAAAAATGGATTTCCAAATAATATTGTAAAAACATCAGACCGGCGGAAATCTTATTAAAAAAGTTTTTCAGCCGAGTCTGCAACCACGAAAGAGCATTTTCATGTCTCGTTGAAGTACCGAATAAATTTAGAGTAGTGGTGGAATTATAGATAATGATATAGTATATTAAGAAGCAGTAACAAGCTAGTATATTAAATCATCAAGTTTCTGGCTAATATTGTAGTGTTTAATATTGGCTTAAAACAATTCATAGAATTTGGGCCCTTAAACTATTTTGAATTGTTCATTTAGTTCTAACTTGAACGTTGAACGTACAACATATCTATTATCTCTTATATCTTACCCTATCCCCTACCCCCTATCTTCTATCCCTATCTCCTACCCTATCTCCCACCCCTTATCACTTACCCCCTATCTTCTACCCCTGTAATGGTTTTGTAACGCTTTTGTAAAGAACGCTTTTTTCGGTTATGTGCCAGAGCTAATTCCCACCCTTATCCCTATTCCCAGGCACGATATAAGTGATAAAAGAGAGAGAAAGAGAGAGTGATAAGAGGTAAGCGATAAGAGATTAGAGATAAGAGTCACGAGATGAGTGATATGTACTACAATAAACCGAAAAAACATAACTATGGTTCAATTTTTTTATGTTTTTCCAAGGAGCGGAAAAAATAACTAGTTGTTTTATAAAAATAAAAAATAGTCTCCAGGCAAAGAAATTTTAATTGTATTACTTAAGGAATGTGCTTATAGAGTTCTTGAAAACTAAAAAAAAGTAATATTTTGAAGTTATTGTCAATTTTGTTTGGAACATTTATTTATAATAATTTGTATATTTTGATTTTATCTGATAACACACTAGCAATATTATGTGCACTAGCAATAATATTCGATTGACTAAAGCAATTTAATGAACATATTTTGTTTCATGAAATGTATATTTAAATAATTACAATAACATTACATATTTAATACAACAAAAAAATACAAATAATTGGTTATTTAGACGTTTCATTTTTATTCGAATAGACCATTTATAGTTTGTTATTTGAATGTAAACGTTATACTAAATTTATTTGCATAATGTAGCTTTTCGGTTAAAATATTATCTTTAATTACAATCAACTGTTTTAGCCTTTATTAGCTGTTATTTAATGACATTTTTTCCATGTCTGACTGTATTCAACTCTTCTCGATTCTATAACTCTGTACTCGATGACTAAAAGTGTTATTCTCCGTTTTCATGGAAAACATGGACAACACAATTTGGATGTCAAGTAAATGGTTATAACTTGTTTCATCGTGTTTAAAGAAAATAACCACGCACTCGTTAATATGTGTTTGTTTCTAAACAAGTTACTGCAGTACTTGCATTAAAGTTAAATTTAAAACTATGCGGGTTTCTATAGAATATCAAAAGTTTAACGTTAGTTTGCCAAAAGTTTGCCCTACGTGTGAGATTTGCCTTGTTTTACTAGAGCCACCGTTATAATACAATTCTAGAAGTTTAAAAGCAACGGTCCGAATAGGACTAGGCATTTAGGATTTACCGGACATGTTTTAATTATGTTATATGTAAATGGTTGTACATATGTGTACACTACTAGTATGCTACCTGGTGTGTTAGTGAAGGTTAGAAAAAATTTCTTTCGAACAAGCCCATAAGATGGCTAGGGTAAGGGTAATTGAGGTATTATCATTGCTATGATAACTATTTATATTAAAAATCGTTTGTGTAGTTGATCTGATTAATAATTAATGCTTAATATATTTTTCTATTGCAGATATAATTATAATGCAATTAGTTATTTAGCAATGTAGTTATTTTGGTTTTTTTTTAAATTTAAAGCGGTCTTTCGTTGGAATGATATTTGAATGAATAGGTTTTGATTGCATTTAAATTAGTTTCAAGATTAATTTAAGCAAACGAACATATACATATATATATATATATTATATAAATGTGAAATTGATTACCCGACGTTTGAAACTTAATGACGTCTGTTCTAATGAATTGTGTTAAAAACGTACAAAAAGAGAAATACTCTCGACGGTCTTGGATATATTTAGGTAATTCGTTTGAAACTAAAAAATGTGTATTATATAAACATTAAGTTGAAATGATTACACAAAAAACATCATTAGGTACAATATTAATAATGTATAAAAAAATAAAGAAAATGTAAATAGTTCAACTGTAGTACTATTTTTATAAATATGTTTTTTTTGTATAAATAAATACCAAACGAAAACAAAATAAACTAAACACATTTTTTTACAACATTATTATACACATACACTGTTAAAGCTGGGATATTATTCGAATAAACCACTTATTCGAATAACAGTTTTGTTTAAATTAGTTTGGTAGTTAGAAAAAAATATTTCCCTTTTACATCAATTCATGTAACGTAATGAATACTCATCGATTTCTTTTTAGTTTTTGTTTATTAATAGATTCAATTTTACCCAACTCTGCTTATGATTATTTGAAACATATTATCTTTACTGTTGCTTAAGTCATATTCAATAATATTATGTTGTTTTGCAATCATTATTGTTTGTGTTTTTTTTATGCTCTTCTATCAAATGGCGATAGTTTTTCAATAAACCTATTATACTTTGCCCATAGCACACAATCAATAGTGTGTAAAATTGTTCGTCACCGCAATTCCCCCCACTTGAAGAAGAAACCGAACACTGATTGAAGTCGTAAGCCGTTTACAGAAATCCCGTCGGCACTGCCGGCAATTGTCTAATCGAGTGTCTTCAAGCGGAAAATATTATCTCTCACGTTGCCGAGATTACCGAAGAAGCTCTATTTACTTTGCACTGGCAGCAGGAAATGACGGTCTTGCGGATTACACGCGTTTCGCCTGTTACAATATAACTAATCCGGGCGGGAACGCGCATAATAAGATCCCGAAACCGATGCCCGAGTTGATTTGCAACCCAATATAAATCTCCTAGATTATAATTTACAAACATTTCATACCGTCCAAAGTAAAAGTACACAAATGTAAGATTCGAAAAATACCTGCTAATATTTTTAAACATTTTGAAAGACAAAACAAGCATGGAACCTTAAAAAAAAACCTACTTATGTTCTCCTCTTATCACTTATCTCTTGTCACTTATATTTTATCTCTCATCTCTTAACCCTAACCGCTAATCTCTCGTATTATCCAATATCTATTTCTTATTACTTATTTGTTATCACTTCTCTTTTATCACTTATCATGCAACTATTATCACTTATCTCTAATCTCTTATAAATTACTTAATGTTTAAACATTTTGAAAGACAAAACAAGCATGGAACCTTAAAAAAAAAACCTACTTATTTTCTCCTCTTATCACTTATCCCTTGTCACTTATATTTTATCTCTCAGCTCTTAACCCTAATCGCTAATCTTTCGTATTATCCAATATCTATCTCTTTTTACTTATTTGTTATCACTTCTCTTTTATCACTTATCATTTATTTATTATCACCTATCTCTAATCTCTTATCAATTACCTCATACCATTTCACCTCACATCACTTATCTCTTATCACTTGAAAGTGAATGTATAACGCCAATACAGCGACACAAAATTTCTTGTACCCAGCCCACAATAACATATATCCACGATAAGAATATTAAACAGAGTAGGCGTATTCGATTATGGCAATTATTTAAATAAAACTATTAAACCATATTGCATTGAAAGTTGTTGGCTGATACCGCCCTTTGTAGAACCAGCAACGTGTCGGGTTAGCTGTTGTTAAGATGATAAATGAAGGTGAATTCCGTTGCCCAAATGTACTGTGAACGTTTGGCACGAGAACGTCTTATACATTATAAATTGTATAGTAGGCATTGCATTAAAATCAAACTTTAACCGTGAACAGTACAGTTCAGATGAGTAGTACAAACTAGTTCAAGTCCGAACGGCAAAACAAAGTCATAATGGAATTGGATGATGAAAAAAAAAAGTTTTCTTTCTGTCGCAAAAAAATGTAGAAGTGTACAAAACTTGTTCGACTGTTATTTATTATTTCGAGATAACTTTTAGGAAATCAAATGAACGCCTCCGCCAAAGTGTACGGTTTGGTTGTATATTCTTTTTCGTTCAACGTACGATACGGATAAAAAACAACTTGACAATGGCGCATTTGCATAATGGAAATGATACGACGCATGTAAATCGTTGTAAAGATATATTATGTTTTCCAACTCTTGTGTTCAACGCTATACTTCATGGCAGCAAAGAACTATAATAACATGTAACACTAACATAATATAAAAAAAAAAAATACATCATTAAAAAAATGACAATTTATGCATATTTTTTTCTGGTAAATAAAACAACATCAATAAAACGGAAATTGTTATTACTTTTGCCAATTTCTTATGGACTTAAACACTGTCGTTTTCGGAATTCAAAAAAATAGTTAACAAAAACATAAAACCAAAAAATATAAAAACATATTTTGTAAATACGAGCAATCGCTGTGATGCTGATTTTATATTCAACGATCGCACATACTATAGTCTGTTTTGATCCAATAAGTTCTTCGTTTGAGTGTGCTTTATATAAATTACTAGATATACAAAAAAAAAACCCCTCATGGCGCAGCTGCATGTTTCGGACGCACATTCATAAACTTTTTATTATAAATATAAATTGAATTTCTTTTGTAAAAAACGTCTGATAATAGTGATGGATGGTGAACGAGTAAAAAAACAACGACGAAAGTAAATACAAAAACTTAATAAACAAAGTGCGGCATTGTCTGGCGACTATAATACAAAACATTTTTTTTTTTAAATAAAATGAAACATGAAATAAAATATGTATAAAATCGTGAGACCATAAAACGCTATGTAGTACACACAGATTTTTATCAATGGGATTTTTTCAACATACATTATAAACTACTATTA